ATGTAATCGTTGTAATCTTTGTTGAAGCTTATGAGTTCAGAATTTTAATTTTGTTAGAGCTAACGAATTTTAAATTGATAATTTGTATATATTCGTATGAACTCTCAAGACAAATCCTGGTTTCGTACTAAAGCTATTTGGGTTTTCACATCTATTCATAAGCAAAAGCATTAATTGAAATTGTTTTCACCGTCAATATCTTTATCCTATTAAAACTATGACTTAATCAAGTAATCAATCTTCTAATTAAAAGTATTAGATTCAGTGTGCTCTATTTTCGAAAACCATGGGCTTTTTTATCCCTTTTTAAACAAAATACCAAAGCTCAGTCCCCAATCAGGTAATTTTGAAATAAACAACAGAAAGGACTAATTTGTCATTTCAGGTAAACCGTTATTTTTAATCTTCTTCCAGTATAATCTAAAAATACATAAATATAAATTCCTTTTACAATTCACCGTCAAATAAGACTTCCTATACGATTTTCTCAATTTCTCCGATTCATTTTTTCCGTTCGACGAACTCTCACCGGGAAAAGCAACTCCATTGCCGGGAAATACTCTTATTTGATAAACGAATGCTGCATTAAATTTGATCAATCTAGGGTTTCGGTGAAGATTGTAGTGAAGCAATGGCGAAGGGGAGGTTGAATCGGCATCAAGGGAAGAGATCATCGACAGTGGTTTTAGTGCTTTCGATGCTTCTGATGCTAACAGTTGTGCTTCTAATGCTTCTCGCTCTTGGCATTTTTAATCTTCCTGTTGGTTCTGATGATGAGTCGTCTTCGACTGTTCAGGATCACATCAAGTTCAAGCGGTTCAACTTAGATATGTACGTATATTGTTTTGGACTTCAGAGAATTGATTAATTGCACTGATTTTGTATGCTTAGAGTATGTTATAACTGTTACTGCCGATCCAATGAGTTTTTGTTGGGCTGTATTTCTGAGTAAAAAATTCATTTGCAGAGGGGAAGGTGACGGACTGGGGAAAAGAGGGGAACAATGGACAGAGATCTTATCGTGGGAGCCTCGTGCATTTGTTTACCACAATTTCTTGGTGAGCATGTCACTACTCTTAGACATTTTTGGTCTGATTTTGTTAATTAGTTCTTGTCTAAGGAATGGTCAGCAAAATATCCATAGAGGTGAGCTAAGGTTTTGTTGTGGTTACATCACATTAGTTTGGTATTTGGTTAGAGATTTATATGCTCATGTAAGGGTGGGATATTGGGAGCCTCTAGTTTTATAGTATTACTCATTTGCATTGATGTTTCATTATTTAGTATGAGGATATCCATAGCAGTGAGCTATTGCTGTTACATTAAATTAGTTATGGTATTTGGTTAAGGATTTGTATGCTCGTGTACGGTGAGATCTAGTGAACTTGCCTGAACATGATTGGTGCGATCACACTAGTAGCAAGAGATGCAGATGGTGACAATGAGAGGTTGTCACTGAGCACTCCGAGTCATGTGGGAAAAGAGGTCAAATGGAAAGGTAAAGTCATACACTTGTTTGGCTCCATTTTGAGTATAGCTCACTTTTAAACATCTGTTTGGGGAACGGGGAAACACCCGTGCTAATTTTATAGAACCACTCATTTGTATGAAAGGTTAGTTATTTAGTGTTAGAATAGACCGACCAAAATAAATCATAATGGTTCCAAAGTATTCATATTGTATACCCGACCAATTTGAGGCTGGACGTGTGTTAGATCATACTAATTATAACTATGTTTTCTTTTGTGATTCACTAAGGTATTGTAAAATGAAAAAGTTTGAATGTGACAATGTGGTTTGCATTTCGACAGTCCAAGGAAGAATGTGAATACTTGATAAATCAAGCTAAGCCTCACATGGTGAAGTCATCAGTTGTTGATAGCAAGACCGGTCAGAGTAAAGATAGCAGGTTTGTAGTTGGTGATTTCTTTACATTCACTGATTGCCAGTTTGCCACAACAAGCATCTTTGAAGTCTTTTCATCATTCTATAATAATTTTCTTTTAGTAGCTTGGTTTAGAGACTTAATTCTTTTTTTCCCTTCATTCCAAACCAATATCTGATACTATTTCAGTTTGAGGACACCTCAAGATGTCTGCCTCCATCCTATTTAATAGTACTTTATGCAACTTCTACACAGAATAAGAACTACATTTTAGCTATGTTTTCCTTAAGGTATTAACTTTTCGATTGCTACTTACTGTTTTCCACTGCTATCAGAAAGTAGACAAATCTTACTAACATTTTTTATGCTGGGTTAAATGGTGTCATCTAAAGTAGGATGGAGGAAGGAATAGTTTTTTCCTATGTTGCTTGGACTCTTCAAAAATGAAATCGAATGTTTGTCGGATCCTTCAGAAGTAGTGCATTTTTGTAAGATACGACATCTGAGCGGCATCATTTTTTGGAGAGTCCGATCAACATAGGTTTTTTCTATGGACTGATGTTCTGACAGTTTCATATAACAGGGTTCGTACAAGTTCGGGAATGTTTTTGAGGAGGGGGCGAGATAAAATTATCAGAAATATTGAGAAGAGAATAGCAGATTATACATTCATTCCTGCAGGTATGAGGACTGTGTGATACCATACAAAAATCATAGCGTATGAACTCTTTGTTGTCGTTATTATTGTCATTGTCATTGTCATCCACGAGTTCTTGTTAAAAAATTATAAATGGGAAACATTCTCCGATTACGTTCCTTATTTGTTTTTATAAGAAGCAATGGCTGCAAACTTAAAACCTCTTAAGTAGTAATCATTAAATTTCAAAATTTTCTATTACTTTAATTTCGAAGGTTTAGAAGTTAAGCTTAACTCAAGTGAGGTTTTCATTTTATTCATGTTAGTTGCAGAACTTAAATGTATATTGTCCCTGTCTAGAGATATCTTAGGCTGTTCTTTTGCCTGGCTTTCAAAATATGATATTACTAGTTTGATTTTCCTCTTCACAAAACAAAAACGCGAGTGAGTGATTCTATTTTTGTTTATCAGATTCACTAATGAAGATTGATTCGCAGACGTGTATCCATCCTCTGTTAGGATCATAATTATGCTTTACTTCCCTTGTGAATTCCCTGATTAGCTTAGCTTGTTTACAGAACATGGAGAAGGTCTACAAGTCTTACATTATGAAGTTGGACAGAAGTATGAGCCTCATTATGACTACTTCCTTGATGACTTCAACACCAAAAATGGGGGCCAACGTATAGCTACTCTTCTCATGTATCTGTAAGGCTTATAATTCCTCAAATAATTATATGATAAATATGGTAGAAGTTCTGATTTTTCTCTAAGTTGCATCCATAATGATGAATACACAGATTGGTTGTATAATTTGCTTATCTGGGGCATATGCAGATCAGATGTTGAAGAAGGAGGTGAGACTGTTTTTCCAGCAGCAAAGGGAAACTTCAGTTCTAGTCCTGGGTGGAATGAGTTGTCAGAATGTGCCAAAGGGGGCCTCTCTGTCAAACCAAAGATGGGCGATGCTTTGCTTTTCTGGAGCATGCGGCCTGATGCTACTTTGGATCCGTCAAGTCTGCATGGTGCTTCTTGTTCTCCTTAATCTCTCCTACTATTAACACCCTTTAAACCTTATTTAATGTAAAATGTTTCTCCTTTCCTTCCTTCCCTAGAAGGACTCCTATAGAAAAAGATGCAAGTTTACCGCTAGCAAACTCTTAATTTGGTCTGTGTCTTCTTGTCTTGGGCAGTGAATGTCTGATTTTACTCTCTAAAAGAACTAGTTTTTTCTTTTAGTCTTCTAACAGCTTTGATCTGTGCAACTTAACAATTTTATTCCAGGTGGTTGCCCTGTGATTAAAGGGAACAAATGGTCATCTACCAAGTGGATGCATGTTGGTGAATACAAGAGCTAATTTTCTTTCAAAAAGGTATCTCCATTTTGGAAATTATTTTCAAATATCTAGCTTAAAACTCCTCACAATCAACTTTCTCTTGATATATGCTGATTGATGATTAGAACATGGTCTCAAGTATCGTGAGAAGTATGTTGTGCATATGAACGAGTTAATAATAAAATACAACCCTAACCGTTTACCTATAGGCTTGTGATTACTTGCAAACACTTGCGATTTCTGTCAATTCCTCTATGGTAGCAATGAAATGGGCTTGTGAGACAGTTGGGGCCTCATGCTAGTGTCGCATCAAATTCTCAAGTGCTACCATCTTTTAGAAAAAAACCAACTTAATCTCTCTCTTTCAAATTGTGAGTGCAATTGATTTTTTTGACTCTGATAGCCACAGAGAAGAAGAAAGCTTTCGTCTTGCATTCAACAAAACAGATGTTAGGATTTTATATAAAATCCTGGCTGAGTTAGGCCTTAACTCGTTGTCAACTCTCCATCTCCAATTCTACCAAAATTGCACGACTTTCTTAGAATTTATATATTTTGCTCTATATCCAAATGTATGCACTTTAGCAGTAAAATGTGAGAGGATCTGTTCTTGCCTTCACGGAAAATGCATTTCTCTTTGGTTTGACACCTTTTTCTTGCATTTCAGATATTTAGGACGAGTTACAAGTCGTAATAGATCCCAACCTTATTGTAGTTGTGGAGAATGGTGCTTGCTTGGGTTGTTTAGACTTCTGGGGCAGATGTGATGCTTATTTGCCAGACTTCCATTAACATATACGCAGGTCATTTGCTTGCCGGTTTTGAAGAACTAATGAATATTTGTGGTTTCTGAATATACCGTTGTGGTAGTTTAGTTAGGTCAGAATAGTTAGCGGCCAAATGTATTAGAAATCAGAGTTTGAATTATGTTTTCTATTGCATGGTGCTTGGTTTAATAGACTGATGAACTGTGATGTTGTTTCTTCTTGGATATAATTGTAACCTCGCGTCTCTTTATACTTCTTCATCAAAAATGTATGTGGAACGGAAAATGAAAAAGACAGAGGTAACGGTACAAAAACACACAAGAAGTACAAGGAAATTCATTTCAAGGCGTGTTTTGACAAATAGTTGATAATAATTTAGGTGAAAACACAAATATTGATAGTTCAAATAGGAATAAGAGTTATACTTTTTCAGGTGTCGCCTTCTCGACTTCTGCTGATTAAATATAGGAGAGTAATTTAACAATATAACAAGAAAAGAATAAACTCATTATAGCTATCTATTACATTATCACAACTGTGTTCGAGATGTCAGCGTATGAGAAAATTAAGTTGATCTAGTATCAAAGAATCTGCTGCTCCTTTTACATGGACATTCAATCAAAACAATGTATCATGTTGTGTTGAATTCATAAAACCTGAAAGTAAATTACTCAGCACCAAATGTGAGCTGAGGATTGGGATTATTAGTATTAGTAGTAGTTTGGATGAGTTACCTTCTCAGTTTTAATGGCACGTAGCTCGCTTAATATCTCAGCAAAATCAGGAGGGGGTAACCGCGTAAAGTGTATATTCTCGCCTGTGAATGGATGCCTAAATCTGCAAATCAATTCACATAACACTAGTGATGCGAGTAAATGTATCTAGTCATGTTGAATTGATGCAACATAATATTCAATGTTTACCCGAGGGTTAAAGCATGGAGGCAAGGTCTGTCAATTTGAGACACCAATTGTGAAAGTTCCCCATGAAACATTGGTGGTGTTTTAGGCTGAAGAAGCGAAAGGGCCATGTTCTTCGTACCTCCGTACACTTCATCACCCATAAGAGGTATACCTAGGTGCTTCGCATGAGCACGTATCTGTTTCATTAAACCAAATGCCAAGTATAACAGGGCTAGAAAGATTTGAAGCACATATGTTTGAGATTTCAAAGAATGTAGTATATCAAGATGCAAAGAATGAAGTTAACAATGTTTAGGCAGAAGAGTGAAAATTTGTCACGAGTAACTAAGAATCCATGTGATATTGTGTACCTGATGAGTGCGACCAGTTTCTAGCCTCCATTCAACCAATGCCGAGCCACCCCCAGCAAGTTTTTCGATTACTTTATACCTGAAAATATTACTTGATTGAAGAGAAGCAAGTAGACCTTTTCCATAAGGACTTACACATTTGTTTGGGGTGATCGTGCGTGGTGTGTGTGTGGTTGAGGAGGAGCTGTGGAATTTGACATTCAAATACTGATTAACGCATTGCAAAGAAAACAAAGCATGAAAGAGTTTCCAGCACCTACTGACAGCATGACGAGATTTTCCACTTTTAGGTGTTCCAGGGATAGCAGCCATGCGGATTCTGTTATTAGAATCACGACCAATTGGAATATCAACGCGTCCTGCGACTGAAGCTGGTACCCCACAAGTAATGCTGACATATACTCTCTTAATGGTATGTTTCTTAAACTGCTCAGCTAGATCGGCAAGGGAATGCTCGTTCTGTAGAGACAACATCAAAGATATTTAAGTTGAGCAAGATAAATCTAGTATCACAAGCACAATTTTCTCAAAAGGTAAAGGAGATATCTAGACATGAATTACCCATCTTCAGAGCCTGTAAGTAGGAATCACCTTCGCTACAACAAGCAATCCACTTGTTCCTTTGTCTAACCTATGCACAATTCCTGGCCTAACAGATGACTCACACATAACAGAAGAGTCATCATAATTAGGACTTCGATTGGGAGAAAATATGTTCAACTCATCATCAGAAGCATCTTCCCCATCAGAAAGCACTTCCTCACCCGGAAATGAAACAGTAGGAAGACTGCAGTGATGAAGAATACCACTTACAAGCGTTCCAGTAGCATTTCCTGGTGCAGGATGAACTACCTGTATTGAAGAAAACAAATCCCATTGAGCTTTTACAGAACAGTCAGGTAATAGTTCAAACATCCGCGTTATCAGTTTCAATCGATCTGTATCACTACTAGAACTAAGGAAAGGTTCAAGTACACTGACATCCAGAATGGAACAATTACGTCAAACTTCATCTATCAAAGTTCTCTTCCTGATTAACAATGAGTATCTACACGGTTAATGAATTTGTGCTCCAGAAATGGACAAAAAAATAACTCATCCAAGAGCACATAATGTAGATACCGATTATCGAACAAGACACCATAAAAAAGAACTAAGGTAGGTGATTCCACCGTGGTCCAATGCTTGAATATCTCCATTTACATGCTAAAAAAGCAAATTGATGTTCCATCAAAGATAGATGCACAACAAGCCCAAAACAACTACTTTCTCCGTTTCAATTTGTTTGTTTTACTTTCCTTTTTAGTCTGTTTCAAAAAGTGTTCTTTCTTTTATTCACCACCTCTGTGACAAGTCAAAATCAAACAAACAAATTAAAACGGAGGAAAGTAGATTATTCTAGAACTTACCATGTGAGCAGGCTTGTTAACAACAAGAACATGCTCATCTTCATACACTATATCCAATGGTATATCCTCTGGTTCAGCTCTTAAAGGCTTCAAATCAGCTATTGTACAATCAACCTTATCTCCACCTTTTACCATATGTGAAACCTGCAAAGTAAAAAAACAAATCTTTACCAACAAAACTGAGAAAAATCCAGAATTATAAGCCATTGAAATGACTTCAAATATCGAGTTGAAATGCTTTTCTTACAACGACTTAATTTCAATTTTCCACGTGACATGTTGACACGAACTTGAATGATATTTTGGTACATTCTACAACATTTGAAAGTCTCTTACCTCTTAAACTCCGTATCAAGCTTAAAACCAGTAAAACAAATATTATTGGAAGATGGATTATTATTTCAAATTCTTTTTTACTACATATATAATTTTGAGTGTAAAGCAGTGGGACCTTATCAGTGACGCGTCCATTGACGGAAACAAGACCAGAGCGGATGCTAGACTGAACACGAGCTCTACTAACTCCGTCGATCCGGGAACTGACCCATGAATCTAGTCGGAGCTTTCCGGTTTTGCTATCAACTGTTTCTTCGAGCTTGACGCCGGAGTAATTGGACCTCCGGCCGGGAATTTCATCCGGTGAGTCGTCGGAATCTGAGTCTCCGGGGAATTTGGTAAATGCTCTGCAAATGAAGCTTGAAACCCTAGAAAGAGAAATTGGTTTTGGGTTTTGTGGAAGCAAAGAGAACGACGTAGTATTGAGTGCTACCATCGCCAATGTCCCGTGAGGATGGAAAGGATTAGCGTTATTCTCAGAACAGGTGAAAAAGAAGATATGAAACAAAGCGGTGTCGTTTAGATAGAGGTTTTTTTTTTTCTTTTAGCATTGTAGTGGACTAAATATGGATTCACAAAGGAATTGAACTCGATGTCTCTGATTAATGATCGAGAATTAAATTATCTCATTGTAATTCATGTTGATCTGTTAATGTAATACTATAATATTTTTAAAAAATACGAGCAATATATAATCTTAAATTAAACATGATTTTGTTATGTAGTTTTTATTTAACTTTCACTTAATTTTACATTGGTAAAAGCTTAACGCAAAAGTGCACTTCATTACATTTTTTTATCACTCAAATAAGTTTCTGGTTGTACAAAGAACTGAACACTCCTCTCCAAACTTTATATTACAATTTTTACACAACAGGAGGAGATCTTATTCAAGGAAAATGCTTGCAACTCTACCATATAGATGAAGAAATTTTCAATTTTTTCATCTTGGCTTCACTTCATCAACAGTTCCTCTCCTCATCATCGCGACAAACTCATCGTAGTTAATCAGCCCATCCTACATATATGAAAACAGAAATTATATAACAAAACTTTGTTGCATTTTTAAAAAAAAGTAGAAGAATCATAAGAGAATTGACTAACTTTGTTTGTGTCAACATCATCTAGGATTTCATCTATTGTAGCTTCATCCCCCATTCCATATTCTTCCATCGCGTGTCTAAGTTCATCTCTTGTGATAAATCTGTGAAAAGAAAACCCGAAAAAACCAAGAATCATGTACAATTCTCACGAATAACATTTCACCATAACGTATTTTTTGATGTTATGTTGTATTATATGTTTTCAATAACAACATTTCACTATAGCAGCTTAAAAAAATCCACACAAAAACAGCGTTATTACAGAGAGGTTCGACTGTATTTGCAGATAAAGATACATACATACCCGCTACTATCTTTGTCAAAAAACTGGAAAGCCTTGTACAAATTCTCTTCTCTTTCGAGTTTGTGTCGATGCATAGTAGCAGTAATGAACTCGATGTAGTCTATCGTCCCACTGTTATCAACATCCGCCTGCAATCGACGAAAATGTAATGCAAAAAAGTGTATACATTAATAATAAAATTGACACAAATAAATCTAAACATTCTTACTGCATCCATCAATTGCTTTATTTCAGATTCAGTAAGCTTTGATCCTAGCCTAGATAGCCCTGTTTTCAGTTCTTCGTATGTGATTGTACCGCTCCCATCAGTATCCATGTTATTAAACATCTGCTTCAGTCCCTTGATTTCATCTTCTGATAAGTTCTCCGCGATAACCTATTAAGCAAATTTTATATATATTTTCAGTATCAGAACGAAAATGTGTCACATAAATTGGAACGAAGGGAGTACATGTTACTCTGCAGTACCTTAAGAGCTAGTTTCTTCATCTTATTCATAGCTCTAAATTGCTTCAGCCTTGATAAAACAGCACTATCAATAGGCTTGTCTGATGCTTCACCGTCTTTCATAAGCCACGGATGTTCTGCATCATACATTACTCAAAATGATTTCATTATCAATTCAACATTTAGTGATTATACGTGAAAATTAACACATATCGAGATGTATCTCTACTTACGGAGGGCTTCATCTGCAGTGATTCGTTTTTTAGGATCCATTGTTAACATTTTCCTCACAAGATCCTTTGCTGAGGTAGATATAGAAGGCCATGGAGATGATTCAAAATCCAATTGGCCTTTAACAATTTCTTCAAATATGCCCTTTTCAGTCTCTGATGTACACGTACAAGAAAACAGAACATTAGATGATCACAGAGCATCATGCGGAAGCTAATAATTACAAACGATATACTAAAATAGTAGAGGTATGACAATTTAATACATTTTGTTCAGTTGATCTACGTATAAAAAAATATTAAAACTACAGAGAGAATTATCTATTACAACAAAAGACTAGTGCATCAAAATCGACACCTTAGTTACAAGTAATTATCTTTTATACGACCTGATAGTACACCGTCAATGTAGAGAATTAGTTAAAACTCACTATGAGTTTCTTGACAAAGTAGTTTGCAACTACTCTACCTAAGAACATATCATTGTAGGGGAAAAAAAAGTAAACATAGCTTTACATGCCATTTTTGTCCTCGTCACTGAAAAAATAGCTATTGTCATGATGTTTCGAGTTATATTATGAAATTTGAAACCCTACGACAAGTTACATGTGAATTTTACGGCGAAAGGAAGTGTACTAACCAGCCCAGAAGGGAGGGAATCCACTTAATAAAATGTACAAAATAACTCCAGCACTCCACACATCTATCTCCTTCCCATACTTGCGCTTCAACACCTCAGGGGCAACATAATATGCACTTCCAACAATATCCTTGTAAATTTTTCCTACAAAATAATAAATTCGAGAAAATGTGATGCTTATTGCAAGTTTAATATCCGAAGATAATCAAAATCATTAACATTTTTATATGTCTGTTGAATTCGATCCAACTTAATAAACATGTGCATTATATATTGCTACATTTTGCCAGTTCAATAAAACTTATAAATAATTTAACAATATAGGTAGAATGAATATTACAGTCCGGCAAAACCTCAAAGCATATGAAAGATTGAGCAAGACATAGCAAGTTTTGTTAATTCCCTTTTGTACAAAAGTGAACAAATCGGTCATAAATTGTGTATATGACAACTTTGTGAACAATACGTACCAAAGTTATGACTTATGTCCCACCCAATATTATTTTTTTAAACCACTTGATATAAAGTTCTACTTTTACAACCAAGAAAAACTAAATAAAAAGCATCATAATACATAAAAATATATTGTTTAATTTGACTTCAGTTGATACCTATGTTTTTCAATTTTAGATTTGTACAAATAGATTTTTAAACTTGTATAAAATTGAACAAAGAAACACACGTGTCTTATAAAACATGTAGGAGGTCACGTAGAACACAAATTTATTGTGTAGGACAAATGTGTATACACGTTTAAGTGTCTATTTGTACACATTTAAAATTAAAAGTCATAATTGTTAGATGGGAGCTTGAAATCAAGTAAAAGATCATATATTTACGTATTATACCAAAATGATAGGACTAAGTAAGTTTTACTATCAATTTTTAAAAAATTTCGTGTTCAATCAAACTACGACAGACTGTGCTCTAATCATCATGACTATATTCATTGTGTTTACAGTTTTTACACGGGAACATGAAGAAAATATGCATTGACCTGTTACTTTCAATTGACTAGGTCAACCATCCACATATATAAAGTCTTGTAAACACAGGACCAAAGTCTATTACACTGTCCCATCAAATTGACACTTTTATTTTATTTTTCTCAATTGCAACAATTCATGTTTCATGATTTTTGTAAAACTTTAAACCGCGTAAATGAGCAGTAAGTCATAAGTCTTCTTTTCTGATATAAACTTATTTTGATGAAATAAAATAAAGGCATGTGTTCGTTTTACATTTTTTATAACATGTTTAATAAGTCTTAATCAACCTTTAGAGTAGCATATAGGTCATAAGCCTAGGGTTTTAAAATAGGCTTTTTAATGAGTGTGTTGTGCTAAAACCTTAAAAAACAAATTAAAAAAAGACCAGAGGACAATAATTTAATAAAGATTAAAGAATTTGAGTGACTAATCATGACTCATTCAACAAAGTAATCAAACTTAACTTATATGGTCACTAGACTCACTATTGCTCTAATTAACATTATCATCAATTATTCTGAAAATTTAAAAGACTATTCAAGAGTTGATTTTTTAATTAATAGTATTTATTATCTTAGAAAGCCATTATTTTATCGGAAAAAAATAAAGCTGAAATAAAAAAAAATAACTTTCTAAAATAATAACAACTAAGTTAAGTAATCATCTGAAAAATCAACCCTCATATCGAGCCTTATAATCAAGCTTAATGTTCAAAGTAGTTATCACATAACATCCAATCAAAGACATCCATGTCATAGAGAATCAGGCTCGACAAAAATAAATAATATCACATGATTAAAGTAGGAAGTGAACGAATTAAAAATAATACATAAACCTAACAAGAATTGTGATATATAGAGGAGGCTCAAGGATACGAACCTAATCACCTTTGTTAGGAAATATTTTACCTCATGTGTATGAACCTAATTTAAAATCAAGGTCAAAATGAAAAAGGAAGTAGAAGGAAATAACTTGAGTGAAAATATTGATGATAAAAAAAGGCAAAGAGCAATTTAGTGCACTAAGCTTCTGTTATGCACGGGATTAGAGCACTAGTATCTATTGTATGCGGGTTTACCCTATGTTTCTACCGGAAGTTATTTTCACAGCTAACACACTGAGTCAATCACGTTACAACAACTTTACTAGTTACGTCAAAGACTAATATAGAAAAAATTGCAACAAACTAACCTTCTTCAATGAAAACAGAGAGCCCAAAATCAGTAGCCTTCAATGGAGAATCATCATCTTTACTAACCATCAAGAAATTTTCCGGTTTAAGATCTCTATGCATAACTCCCATAAAATGACAAACATGAACCACATTCACTATTTGTCTTCCAATTCTTGCAGCTTCTTTCTCTGAATAATTCCCTTTTGCTGTAATCCTATCAAAAAGTTCACCACCACTACACAACTCCATAACCAAATGTAGATTGTTTTTATCCTCATAAGCACCTTTAAATTCAACAATATTTGGTTGTCCACTTAAATATTGAAGTATTGTAACTTCCCTTCTAACATCTTCAATATCCTTTTGTGTTACCAATTTCCTCCTTGAAATCGATTTACACGCGTATTTCAATCCACTTGATTTATCACTACAGAGATAGGTTATCCCAAATTGACCTCTTCCCAATTCTTTATCAAGATCATATAGTGTTTTTATGTCTACATATGGTTTTCCTAATATTGGACCAATTTGATTTGGCATAAAAGTCGATGCTGGTGCTGGTGCTGGTGTTGGTTCTGGTATCGAATTTTGTGGATATTTTTGAGATGATACTGGAATTGGATTATATTCAGGGGATGATGAAATTGGTACATCTCTATAATGTGGACAACAACATTCTTTAGTAAAACAGAG